TCAGTCGTGTGAAGGTGGAGGCTCGGCCGGCTCGTAGCGCCCGCTCCCAGGGACCGCCTCGGCGTCTATTCATAACGAGATCGCACTAGGAGTATCCTACACACTTGGTTGAGATGATACGATGAATTACAAAACAACGTAATTCACGAGGGCCATTCAGATTAAACGGCACCAGTCTGGTGAAGAGCTAAGCGGCGATATTGTGGATTAATACGAGCCCTTCTAGAGGAGATAATTTTACCCGTCTACACTTTTCGTTAAAATAACTTCCGAATGGTGCAGCGCAGTCACAATGGGGTGCCACCTCCACCCGAGCACGCGCTTGATCTGATTCACGGAAAGCTGCTTGGTAGCTCACCTGTTACCACTTGGAGTGCCGTTTCTTAGCCATTGCCAGAACGTCGTGTTTTCGCCCACCACCTGGTGCGTTCACCCGGGCCCGTTCAAAGTGGCTGCGCACGGATTCAGCCCGCTTCCTCCATTTCTGTCCGCGCCTCACCCGCTGCGCTGGTGTTTTGAGCGCTGTGTTCACAGCCGCACCGACAGCTGCAGCATCGTGGGATGCGTCATGACATCTGCCGTGCATAGCGCGCGGTCCTGGCTTGTGAGGAATCGGTAGCACCTGCGGCGGCGCTGACCGTCACGTGACCTCGCGGCCGGCCGTCACGTGACCCCGCAGCCGGCCGGGCCGTGACTCACGCAGACCGGCCGCCAGAATGGATGGGCACACGTGACCCGCTCCCAGGGATGCAGAGCTCTCATCGTCGCTGAGTAACACTGTTTGCGTTACGGTGGCCAAATTAAATATGAAGGGATTGTAGTCGGCTGGTGTGACGTCTCTGCTGTTGTGCTATTCAAGTTATTTCTTCCCGGAGGTAGCAGGCATCGAAACTCGGAAGACGTTCAAAATCTAGCTAGCTGATGCCTTCCTGTGAGATAGCTACGTTCTGCTTGTGCGCGTGCGCGCATGTGCACGTCTGAGACGAACGCTCCTGTCCAGCTGCATCAGACAGGTATACCTTAATGATGTAGACTGAGGTCTTTGTTGAGTGATATCTGGTCAACTTGTCCCAGTTGGTACTTTATAGACCCCTCCCGTTATCTCAAGAACTAAGCTGTCTGCGACTATGCGGAAGACGACGTAGGATGGCGCTTGACAACTCTATCAGGGGGTTATAAGTGAACATCGACACATGTGACCTGCGGTGTCATGGCAAGTGAACTGGTATGCCCTGCGATGTCATACTTAGTGAACAGGTGTTACCATTGCTGCACCTGCCCATCCGTGTCTATCAAGAACTTAACAACCACATCAATAGGGAAGACAGCGTTAGAAGGCCTCCCAAAACTGAAAATATGTGTCAATAACTTTTAAACCACAGGACCTTCAAATGATCGAATCTCGACAACACGGTCCAGATTTGACTCCTTTGACCTTGGATGACCTAACTTGGTTAGAACCAGCAGAACGATAGCAATGCGCTTCAGAATGGTATATGTCAGATGAGGAGTCTGGGAAACTTGCTTGGAGTGCACATCCTGTGAGAAATAAGAGTTATTTTTTATTTGCAGCATCAGGCTTTGGCTCCCAAAGCTTGAGCATGCTGCTCAAATACATTCAGATGGCATTCCAGAGTCAAACTCAGAGAACGGACCCCTGAGGCGCCCTCCTCGTAGCGCGCGGCCTGAGACCGAGACCAATTGTTGACCCCTGGGTTAAGGCAATAGTGCGAGTTTTGGGGACAGTTGTGAATTTTGCCTTTGAGAGGTCACAGAGGAAATGCTTGACTAGGTATAGGCATGGGATGACAGTCGGATGACTAAATAAGGCATGATAAACCCAATGGTATATCTAGCGTCAATTCCCATGAATTGATGGGGTTAGGTTGGCTAAATTCGATAGCAGGTCTTACTGGCATGAAAGCTGTTGACTGATATGGAGTTGTGAGTGCAGTGGGACACAACAACTATCAAATACACCAAAGTTTCTGAATCAGCGCGCCAAATTGCCGTGAATATGTCATAAATCAGCAGTCATCAACGGGAGACAACGGTGGCCTGTCGTCCCGGTTAATGTTGAAGAGGTGACGTCCGTCATCTTAGACAAAACAGTGTCAACGCCACACGTGTCAAAACAGTGCCAACACAGCACCTCCAGAGTCAGCAGGACTGGGACCGTTACAGGCGCCAGCCAAACGGGCGGTGTTCAGGGTCCGTGCAATGGTAGAGGCCCTGTCGCCGCCGGCCGCGACACGGTCGGGTCGAGGGGGTGGACGGTGTGCGACGCGTCTGTCGTGCGCGCGCCCGGGTTGCGGCTGGGGTGTCTCCCGGTCGCCAGCGGGTCAGGGTACGGCCGCCACATTTGGCCCATGGGAAGGTTACCAGCGGGGAAATGCGGCGCCGTGGAAGTAGAACCACGATAGAAGTCAATCGACCTGACATCTCGGTTCACACGGGATACCCTCACGGACCTCTGGCGCGCCCTCCCGTCTTCAACACCGGCCATTACTCGTGCTCGCGCAGTGTGTTGGTGTGTTTGCGGTGCAGCAATATAGGAAAGACAACAGAAAACTGATCCGGCGTTTTGTCGTCTAACAAAGGGTGCGGACGACTCGCACTACACGTGCAAGCGATTTGTGCTCTTATGGCATCGCTTCGAGCGGGGCCGGGCATATGAAAACTGAAACAGTTGGTGGAGCGTGTGGACTAGAATATTATCCCTTCAGTTTGACTTTTGTCAGGGCAAAGGTCTGAAGCTGCGCGCCCAGATCCCGTCGCACGTGTAACCTATCCGATAACAGGTGGAGTTAGAACGGCCAAATTCGTTACTCTGGCAAGGCATGTGTGTTGGATGACTTGTAACACGCGCCCAGAACTTTGCGTGTCCATGTCACTGCCTTTGGACGTTGGTGCTTGGAACAGGTTAAACGTCCTCAATATGGGCTATGTTCCTGAGAGCCGACTGAGTCAGCGCTACCCAGGGTTGCTTACAAGATTTTCCAATAGAAGGGACACAAGTTATTCTTCAACAGGGATTCATGTAATGCAGCGCAGGTACGAGAAATTCCTTGGGAGGCGTAACATAAAGCATGATTTTGATGTGCTTACTGCTACGACACGATCAGTCCTTGGATGGCCGAACCTCATCGATACGGGTGTTTCGTCTGGGTTCGGTCAAGGTCAGCGTCAGATCAGCACACACAGGCACGCCCCTCTGGCCACCCGTTAGGAGGGCTTTGTCGCCAACAGAATGAGCTGCACATGCCCAGCTCGGCACGCTTTTCGATGTGCATAACTACCACTCTGGCACACACGCACTCGTGTAGTGCATACACCGCATATCTCGTGGCGCGTGCGCGAGCGATTTGTTACTCTATGTTATTGTTGCTGGTCTGAAAGTAGCCAGTGGCTGACGTCTAGCGCACCGGACGCTTGGAGCATGTGCACGTAATCGGTCGGCCTGTTTCGCGTGGGCGCGGCCTGTGCCAGAAATGGCAGCTACAAGAACCTGCTCAACTTCCTCGTGCATTGGGCAGGCGGTGCTGATGATGGAGAAGCTGAGAGCCTGAAACTGAAAGCGTTGTATAATGTTCACAGCTTGTATGAGGTCACACACATTTCTGTAACTTAGGTGCAATGTGTGGTTCTTGGCGCCTGTGCTCTAGCTTGGTACCCGTCTTGTTTGGGTCTTCTCTGACATTCGGAGCGGACATTTAGGATTGGTTCCGCTGCTCGCGGTCTATCAGAACATCGCAATCATCATCAACATGCGCATTTTGTTGGATTCCCATCGGTATCGACGCCAGTATCTGCACGCGTATGCACGATCACTAATCACGCATTGGATGCGCTGTGTCGATGAAGAAATGGTCTGGAACCGCCAAATTTGGTACACTAGCCAATCGTAGCCTAGGAGCTATAGCGGGCTATATGACAGTGGTATAGTTGCTTACTTAGTTGGTCGGGCTCCTTCCCGTTGTTTGCTATATTAGAGTATATTTCGTAAATTTGTATTGCTCAGTCCCTCTTAGCATGTTTTGGTAAGCTACGCCCCTGAAATGTGCCCCCCCCCCCCTGGAAGTTGCAGTGCCCACCACCGTTTCTAATTATACGATGCAAAACGCCGGTACAGCTTCTAAGCATAAAAAGCCTCTCGGCGACCTGTCGGGCCTCCGAGAGGCCCTGGCCTGTGAGCACGGCACGCTGCAGACCAGCCATGTCCTCGACCGAGGTCATGTCTGACTGATGAACTGTGACACTGGCGGCCGGCGGGACCAGTCGGACCAGTGGCAGAAGTCCAGTTTGTTCTCTGACTAGCGCCGGTTTGACCTGCGTTGGCGGCACATTCATCCCAGTTCGTGCCGTGATCATGGTGACTGGTGGTGGCTGGTTGGCATGTGGCACGGTTGGACGAGTCCCAGGCTGACAGGTCAACCCAGTGGACGAACCTCAGTCTGACCTGAAGCCGTGGCGGGTAGGTCTCAGTCCGACCTGGGTCAGTCGTGAATGAGCTTCAGTCTGACATGTAATGGTGACAGCCGAGTTACATCACCCGTGGCGTCTATTGCTGGGCTGAAGTCTGACATGTAATGGTGACAGCCGAGTTACATCACCCGTGGCGTCTATTGCTGAGCTTCAGTCCGACCTGCGGCGGTGGCTGCCCAGGTTCCCAGCCTTCCAGGTCGGCCGTTGTGGAGGCCTGCGGAGTTTGAGCCTCACCTTACATCATTGGTGCCTGATACCAGCTTTGTCTGTGACGCTGGTTGCTGAGTTCTCGCCTCATCTTTGACGATGATCGCTGCGTTCCGGTCTGACCTGCAACGATGGTCGCGGGGGTCCGGTCTGACCTGTGACGATGGCCGCGAGGGTCCCGTCTGACCTGTGACGATGGCCGCGGGGTCCGGTCTGACCTGTGACGCTGATCGCTGCGTTCCAGTATGATCTGTGACGATGGTCGCTGTGTTCCAGTCTGACCTATGACGCTGGTTGCTGTGTTCCAGTCTGACCTGTGACGCTGGTCGTTGCGTTCCAGTATGACCTGTGACGATGGTCGCTGTGTTTCAGTCTGACCTGTGACGCTGGTCGTTGCGTTCCAGTATGACCTGTGACGATGGTCGCTGTGTTCCAGTCTGACCTGTGACGCTGGTAGCCGAGTCACGTGCTGCGCCGGCCCCGTGTCCCTGTTCGCTGGCCTAATCTGACCAAATGGAGGTCGACCATTAGTCGTACGGCCACGTCCGTAGAAAGCGAGACCAGTCATTAAAGTGCTCATAAGTAATTGACAGGCAGTTAAACATTCTTATAATGGCAAAGATGGTATCGGGAATCAACATGAACCTTACGGCGGGCTGGCTTGGCCTCTTATCGGCCGGTCGTTTTTACGTGTGGCCGGTTGGCGGCGTCGACCGTATTGTCGGGCACCGCGCCCTGGCAGTGAGATGCATCTTCGATCTGATTCACTGTCTGGACATGCTAAGTAACGCCGGTGGGCTATGGCGTCACAAGGACAAACAAGGTCAGCGCAGGTGACGCTTCAGGCTGGTTTTGTGTTGTTCCGGGCAGGCGCTCTGCGCAGGGACACGAGCCCGGCCACCACGCCAGGAGCGAGGATGCCGCGGCTTTCGCAATGGCAGCCTTCCCAGAACTGGAACTTCGCAGGTCGTCTTTTCAGGTCACGACGGCGCGAGCAATTCGATCGGGTAGGTGCTGCGGAGGCCAGCAAGATTTGACGTCATCGACGTCGTCAGGGACAACAGACGATTCAAATGCGGTCGAGCAGCCGGCCAGCTTCGCCGATACGGTCGCATTGGCCGGCCAGGTTCTTCCCAGTCGGGCCGACTTTACGGGCCCAGTTTGCGGCAGTGGCTGTTCGCCGTCAGGTCAGACGGAGCGCCCGGGAGAGTGGTCTCTGTACGCCCGAGAATTCGGCGGCGGTGTGGAGCCTGGATCACCGAGCTTTCGCCGGGGTCTGCACCTCACCGCCAGCCCTCCCAGCATCCATCACTACCAGCGTGCATTGAGGGCGTTCCAAGTGGGCTCATTTAGCAGCGTTCCGATTGAGGGCCACTGCACTGCACAAGGGGTGAGGTGGGACCATACGCGCTCAGCGCAGGGCTGCGGCGCCGCTCCGGCAACATCGGCAGCGGTGGTGCCACCGGCCCCCCGCCACTGACGCAGGTCTGTCCGCTCGGGCCTGGTGGTTGCATCGAGTACGGGCTGGAGCTCCAGTGATCACCAGGGGCTGACTCGCCGACAGGGAGCCACCTGCTCTCTCCGTCCCGCATTGCAAGTCCGACTGAGCCAATTAGCCAATCACCGACCGGTCCAGGGGCGGTTCCAGGGGCAGCCTGGGCCACTGCACCGCTGAGCGGGACGCGGACGCGGGACCCGGCTAGTCGACGGAGTCTGGCCAGGAGCGGTCCGGAATGTGCCGGTGACGGCCGACGGACCAGCGCGCCCCGCCCGCCGCGCCTGGCTCCGCCCATGCGCTTGCCATCCATTCCGATGTCTGCATTGATGTATGGGTCTCGGGTGATTGTGCAGAGGGCGACTGCGGGCTGGCCGGGGCCGCGCGAGCGGCGCGGACCGTTCGGCACCGGGCACGGGGCGGCGGCCACCGGCGAGCAGGTGGGTCACCAGCGGGCAGCATCTGGCGCGCCTCTGCCCTCCGCGGGTGCCGCCCTCCCGCCCGCAGCGGTGCGGCTGCCCAGCGGAGCTGCCCAGCTGCTGATAGCTGCCCAGCGGAGCAGCTATCGAGACGCCCAGTCTGCTCGGGACGAGCCCCTGGCGCTTGCGGTCAGGAGGCAGTGCGGTCGTGAGGGCGGCTGTACCGGTCGGATTTGTGTTGCGCTGGAGCCGCGTGCGATGCAGAGACTGGGGGCCGGCAGGCCGCTGCCCGATAGCACTGCGCAGCTCGGCGATCACAGGACCTGCGACAAAACAACGCAGGTCATCCCCACTCCGACAGCGTCCTCAACCCAGCCGAAGACCGCTGGGTACCGCCCAGCGCAGCCGGTGGGTCCGTTTGCGGTGAGCTCGTGCCTGCCTCACTGTCCCAGCGCGCCGGCCGCCGCCGATCGGCGCCACATTCACACCGGGCCGACCGCCCAGGTGCGGCGCGCCGGCCGTTTACTTACCGTCGCGTGGTCCGCTCGGTGCGATCCATTAGAGTCTGCCTGCACAGGCCGCCAGCTGATCTCATTCGGCGCTAACTGCCGGCCGCAGAGCGGCAGCGCGCGATAAGAAGCCGCGCCGCCTCAGCCGCTAATGCGCCGCCAGTGTGCACGCGCCGTTATCAACGCGAGCATTCGGAGTAAATCACTGGCGGCGGCGGCGTGGCCGGCCCATTAGCAGTCGGCCGGGCCCGTGTTGTTACAGGGGGCCGGGCGCGCGGCGGCGGGCCCAGCCCTGCAGACGGGCGGGACAGCTGGACCGACGTGACGCTGCTGACGGCGGCCCCTGGCGCCGGGGGTCGGCGGGGGCCGCGGCGCCGGCCGCCGGCTGGGCCGACAGGGCTGGCTGCCAGAGGCTCAGCGGGCTTGGATAGCCGGGGGAGGGGGAGGGGCAGGGGTGGACTCTGGGGGTCCGTGGCAGCGGTGGACGCCGGGGGTCCGTGGCAGCTTGGATAGCCGGGGGAGTGGGAGGGGCGGGGGTGGACTCTGGGGGTCCGTGGCAGCGGTGGACGCCGGGGTCCGTGGCAGCGGTGGACGCCGGGGGTCCGTGGCAGCTTGGATAGCCGGGGGAGAGGGAGGGGCAGGGGTGGACTCTGGGGGTCCGTGGCAGCTTGGATAGCCGGGGAGAGGCGGAGGGGCAGGAGTGAACGCTGGGCGTCCGTGGCGGCGGTGGACGCCGGGGTCCGTGGCAGCGGTGGCCATGCCCATATGGCGGGGAGTCGGTCGACAATCGGCTAGATAACTGGAATGATAAGGCACTCTGGACAAACCCCCAAGTCTGACTGAATTACGCTCTGGTAGTACATCGGTACGTGCACCACCAAAGGTCAGGAATGAGCGAGTGACATGGCTGCACCGTTTGCATAGCTTGAGAGTTACCTATTTACCAGCCATTGCATAGTTGTACAGAGGCCTAGACTAGCCCATGGGAAAGCCGACAATGTGGTCTGCCAAACAGCTAATCAGCATTCATGCGAGCCGATACACATTCACCTGACCAATATTAGTTCGTCTCCCACGTGGCCAGCATTCCATACCTGCCGAGAAAGCTCCGCCAACGACGGGCGCCGCTCACAACAATATCCCCGTCTGCCGTCGCACTGCGCTCACCCGATGATGGATGGCATCGTTAGCTAGAGGTCTGAGGGAATCGTGGTGCACAGGTCAAACTGGGCCGTGCTGCCGTGAACTGCCGGGCCACAAGACAGCCCATCCATGTGTGACACTGGTGTCTAAGACACAGCCGATGGCAAACCGCGACAGTGACCCTGACAGCTACCACTCGTTGCCAATAAACGCGTTTCGGCAAAAATCTTTAAAAATTAAGCAACAAATAGGAACGAATGAAAATGTTTGACACCCCATCTTTGTCAGTTGGCAGTTTCCAATATGTTATTGGTCGGCGGGCCGCCAAGATATCACCTGCACGTGTCACGATCAAGGTCGTGCTGAGCTCTGATGAACAAGATCAGATGATAACCCCGATTGTCTCTGGTGGCTGTATTGCCCCAACTAACTTGATCCAGTTCCTGATGCCAATGACCTTTAAAGAAATAAAATGCGGCACGTTAACACAGACCCCCCCCCCCAAATTAAACACTTGACAAAGAGGTACACCGTCACTCTTTCCAATCATTTCTTTTTCAGAATCGTGAATATGTGTTCTTGGCACTTTTGTGCATGCTGGGTCGATAGGGATATGGGCCTTGTTCGGCATTTCCCCAACACGACCAATTGGAACGAAATGAAAGTGATAAGCACTGCGATTTAAATCACTTGAAGCGAAATAAATCTAGTGCACGACTGCAGCTCCGCCTCCAGCGTTTCCAACAGGCACGACACGGTGATCTGGCGGCAGGGAGGGCTAAACAGCTGTCGCTCGGCCGGGCGGGGCGGGGGAAGGGGGGGGGGGCAACAACTCCCGCGGGCCATTGGCGACGCTTGCGGCTGCGACGTACGAGGCTGTCCGGCGATGGCCGCCGGCCACGCGAGCCAGGACCGAGCCGAGACCGACGACTGTGGTCACCCGCGCCAGGACCGAGCCGAGACCGACGACTGTGGTCGGGTGGTGCGTTCCGGCCGACCTCGCGCCGGGCAGTGCGTTCGGTCGCCGCTGGGAAATCCGGCAATCGCGTGCTTTGGAACGTTACTGGGAAATCCGAGAGGCAGACTTCTTTGCAGACAACGTCCACTAGTCAAGAGAGTCCTCCACGGGTCGCATTTGTCCGCTCTGCAGCATGGGCTGCCGCATGGGTGCCTGTGTGTGTACAGTCCCACCCGGCTGAGGACAGCGGCCACTGTTCGTGCATTGACAGGCACGGTAAACAGGGAACCCCTGCCGCCGACCGCGCCAGCCTCGGGCGCACGCCCAACCGAACCCGGTGACGTCACATGCAAATGAGATACCGCTCGAATGCCACACACTGGCCGCCGGGCAGAAGGTGGTGACCGTGCTGGCGGAGCGAGGTCGGCTCACCACGGGCCGCCTATGCCCAGGGTACACCACAGCCGCCCGCATCGGTCGCTGAACCAGCCTTAGTCTGGCCAAGCGGCTCGAGGGCGATGGGGAGAGACACTGGCGGCGGGCGCGGCCGGCGGGGGGTCGCCCGGGCGGCGAGCTCGTCTGATCGGCCGGGCGCCCGGCCGCCGTCTGCGCCGCCGCTGCTGGGCTGGGCCTGCCCGGCCGGGCGGCACCGGGCCGCCAGCGCCGCCGGCCCGGCCGGCCAGGTGGCCGCTGCCGACGTCTCAATTCGCGACGGGCCAGCTAATGGGATTCACGAGCGCCGCCGGACCGGCCGCGCGGCGCTGCATTCCGAGGTCGAGGGAGGCAGAGCGGGAGA